CTGGTTGCTTCTCTTCTATTTTGGCACATCTAAAGGCCCTTCGACGGCTATCGCGTGGCAGCCAAGCGATTGACTCTGTCTCCACGAGACTGACAAGGCAGATAATCCCGTAGCATCTCGTTCGTTCATCGTGTTCTCACTTCCTATGGGGCCCAATTGGCGCTACACGTCGATAGAAGTCATGGTATAGATATAGAAATGGCTATGGAACCCCGGCTGGTACGCTTTGTACTACCTAACTATGTATCCTACTGAACTTCAGCTTCGTCCCGAAACACATCTAGGAGCTCGCACATATCTTCCTGGCGGAAATTTTGTTTATGTGTATGTGAATATTCATCTTCGCCTACTATGATCTTCGCCCGGCCGGATCTCTGAAGACGAGACGCGTTGACGACGGCGATGCTCCGATTCTCGAATGATCGTCTTCAAACGCAGCACAGGCTCTTTACCACAGGCAACGTAAGTAAACTCCTGGTTAGTGTGGATTTTTATCTGACTAAATGAACGATCTCCAGTAGCAACCATGCGGATCTGAGACGTTGATATCGTTTCATCCTGGAGCCAACGAGATACCTGCACCACTTTCCAACGCTACCCCGCGCCTTGTGTTTTTGTTTAACGGGACGAACAGATCTGTCTATGAGGAAGGGTATGCTTTTTTCGCTACTTATAAGATCTATTAACTAAATTGGTTAGAGCGTGGTACTAATAATGGCGAGGCCGTAGGTTCAACCCCTGTATGGACCGTTTATTTTTGATATATCCTTTTTATAGGACGAAGCGTAAGATTCAAGACTAGTTGCAAAACAATTCCAAGATGAAATACCGCTCAAGTCATCGTCTTGGATTCATTGTGTGTATATAACTTTGAAGATTCTTTTCTTCTAATTTTCCTTTTAATTAGCGTCGCGCCGATAAGTGTTCAAAGTTCCTGATAAATAAATAGAAGAATAACAAGAGGTATTACATACTTCTGTCTTCAACCATGATCTTAGGTTTAATCCAGCTCAGATTAGCCCTGAATTCTTCCATCGTCTGGGATTCCTGTATTTAAAAAGATTATAATCAACAAAGGATGTCGTGATCGGGTAGAAAAAAACTGACTGGCAAGCATAACCCGGATAGGTCTTCATCAGTAAACCAGTTGAAGAAGTCCGGGCACGTCCAGGCGGTCCAGAAGCGTCCAGACTTCTCCTGAGCGTCCTAATTTAATATGAAGTAGTCCCGGATCACACAGGACAGCCGGGACAAATGGCGCGTTTTACTGATGACTTGGTGGTGGGCGATCGCTATTTCTGCAACCGTGTTCTAAATGAGGTCCATGATCAGGCTCAGAAATAGATCAGTATTGGGGTTCTTACCTGAAG